CATGTTATGGTAGCTCATGGTATAATATAACTCACCTTAAGATTGACCCTTAAATTTTATTTTCCTACTACAACTCCCAGCTATACTCTCTTCGAAGCTTAATACGAATGGTTTCCAATTTTTGTTCTTACTGCTGAAGTTTACTACGCAAGTATGGCCCTATTTATAGTCATGTTTGCATGGCTTATAGCAAGTGGGTTGTTTTTGGTTTGGCCACCTTTACAACAGGTGGCATTCTTTCTTCCTTGTTACGTGGCCTAAGGTACTCACTTAGTCACCATCATATGCATTAGGATGGTGATAAATCACCATTTTTTTTTTTGTTGATTTAATTCGCGTTAGGCCCAAAATTAGATTACATTTCATCACCTACAACCATAACATTAATTTTTTTTTTTTTTATTTTTTTTAATACTAATAAAGAATTCTTTTTATTATAGTATCGAATTAAATTTACAAATTCAGGTGTCACATTTCTCCTTTCCTTAAAAGAAGTTTGTCCCCAAACTTGACGTACCTTGGTTTTCAAAAAGGTGTGGGTATTTGGCTCGCATTCAACTTTCAGTTTCCCATGTTGCTTCTTCGACACGATGGTTTCTCCATAAGACTTTTACAAGAGGTATAGTCTTATTTCGAAGGACCTGATTACAACGATCAAGAATTTGTACTGGTTGTTCTTCATAAGAGAGGTCTTCTTGAACTTCCAGGTTCACATAATTGACAACATGCTCTGGATCCCAAAGGTATCGGTGAAGCATTGAAACGTGAAACACATTGTGGACACTGGATAGTTCAGGTAGAAGTACAAGGCGATATGCCACAGGACCATCCTTTCTAGTATCTCGAATGACCCGATGTAATGTGGGTTTAACTTTCCTCGTTTTCCAAATCAGATAACCCCTCTCATTGGTGAGATCCTTAGGAACACATGATCGCCTATTTAAAATTCTAAGTCTCGTCTCTGTGTATCTGCGTAGCTTTTCTGGCGGCTCTGAGCAGTGCGAATTCGCTGTTGGATAAGTTGAACTTTATCACTTGTAATTTGCACGATCTTGGGGCCTAACAATTTCCTGTCTCCGACTTCTGTCCAATACAGAGGTGATCGACATTTTCTTTCGTATAGTGCCTCGTATGGTGTCATTCCAATACTTGTATGGTAGCTATTATTATAGGCGAACTCCACCAAAGGTAGGTGATCATCCCAATTACCTTTGAGGTCTAACACACACACATACGTAACATATCTTCCAAAGACTGGATTGTTCTTTTAGATTGCTCATCAATTTGTGGGTGATAAGTCGTGCTAAACTTCAGAGTGGTTCCTAAAGCTTCTTACAATTTGTTCCAGAAATGAGACATAAAGCGCGGGCCTCTATCTGATACGATTGAAACTGGGATGCCGTGCAAACGAATGATTTCTTTAATGTATAGAGTGGCAAACTTAGTAAGAAGTACGTGATTTTGATTAGTCGAAAATGTGCCGACTTCGTTAATCGATATATGATAACCCATATTGCATCATTCTTCGAGACTAATTGCGGTAGCCCGACCACGAAGTCTATAGTAATGTGCTCCCATTTTCGTTCAGGAATAAGGAGTGGTTGCAATAATCCAGCAGGTCTCTAATGTTTTGCTTTAACCTATTGACAATGCGGGCATTTGGAGATGTGGCTTGCTATGTCTTTCTTCATTCCTGTCCACCAGAAGCGTTCCTTCAGATCGTGATACATTTTTGTATTGCGGTGGATCGCAAACCTCAAGCTATGAGCTTCTACCAATATCTTTTTCTTGAGTTCTGGAAGGTCAGGTACGCAAATTCGATTTCAGAATTTTAGCATCTCATTGTTTATTGTGAAGTCAGGATCGGGCGTGCCTCCTTGTTCCTCATACTTTTTCTTCAAAAGTTTATCTTCACATTGGCGGATTCTAATTTCTTCAATCAGCTTGGATTCCATGATTATGTTGGCAAGCAGTCCATTGATCTTCCGGGAAATGAGGGTACATGCCAAACTTTTGGTCGTCTTTCGACTCAATGCTTCTGCTACTACATTAACTTTGCCAAGGTGGTGATGGGTTTCTATATCGTGGTCCTTCATAAATTCTAGCCATCGTTGCCTCATATTCAATTCATTTTGTGTAAACAGATATTTGAGACTCTTGTGATCTGTGTAAATCTCGCAGGTTACTCCATAGAGATAATGATGCTAGATTTTGAGGGCAAAGATTACCCCGGCTAATTCCAGATCATGGGTTGGGTAATTTTTCTCGTGGGTCTTTAGTTGACGTAAGGCATATGCAATGACCTTCCCATTTTGCATAAGAACGCAACCCAAACTATTGTATGAGGCATCACTATAAATTACGAACCCTTCTGTTTTTGCGGGGAGTGCTAGTATAGGAGCCGTCACAAGTCTATTCTTCAATTCTTGGAAGCAACGTTCTTGTTTGTCTGTCCATTCAAAGGGTGTGTTCTTCTGAGTTAGTTGGGTTAAGGGTGATGTTATCTTCGAGAAATCTTGCACGAAGTGTCGGTAATAGCTGGCTAGACCCAAGAAGCTTCGAATCTTGGACACGTTAGTAGGTCATGGCCAATCCATGATTATTGCAACCTTTTAGGGGTCAACTAAGATGCCATCTTTATTAATGACGTGACTGAGGAAGTGTATAATAGTGATTCAGAAGTCGCATTTCTTCAATTTGGCATAAACCTTGTGATCACACAGTGTGTGTAGAACTCTCCACAAGTGGTGCTCATGATCTTCTGGTGATTTGGAGTATATGAGAATATCATCAATGACGACAATGACGAACTTGTCAAGATAAGGTTTGAACACTCGATTTATGAGGTCCATGACGGCCGCTGGAGTATTTGTGACGCCAAATGGCATGACGAGAAACTCGTAGTGCTCGTAACAAGTTTTGAAGGCAATCTTTTCGATGCTTTCCGTTTTGACTTTTAGTTGATGGTAGCCAGAACGCAAGTCAATTTTTTAAAATACTTGGGCGCCTTATAGTTGGTCGAACAGGTCATCGATTCGTGGCAGAGGGTACCGATTTTTTATGGTGACTTTGTTCAACTCCTGATAATCGATGCATAACCTCATCGTGCCATCCTTTTTCTTTACGAATAGTACTGGAGCTCTCCATGGTGAGGTACTTGGTCGAATGAAACCTTTGTCCAGTTCCTGGAGTTGAGTCTTCAATTCTTTTAATTCTATCATGGACATATGATAAGGGGCTTTTGAGATTGGTTGTGTACCAAGTTGGGTTTCAATGGTGAATTTGATTTCTCGGTTAACCGGGGTGCCAAGTAGGTCTTCAGGAAATACATTCGGGAATTCTCGAACCACATAGATTGTATCAATTATGGGAGTTTCTTGTTGCGTATCAATCACATAACAAATACAACTACAATAACCCTTTCTTAGAAGCCGTTGAGCTGTCATGAAGGATATATCACATGGAGGGGGAGAGACTAGTTCCTTTGAAGACAAGCTCGAGTTGGTTTGGTGACCGGAGGAAGACCTTTTTGGCTTCACAATCAATAAAGGCATGGTTGGCAGCTAACCAATCCATTCCTAAGATCACATCAAAGGTACTAATGTAGAGGGGAATCAAGTCTAGGTGTAAGGTTTCCCCTTTTAAGGATACAGAACAAGATTTGTACACATCAGCACTAAAGGAGGAGTTTCCAGAAAGAAAAGACACAGATAGTATGTGTCCTAAGGGTTCGGGTGTTAATGCCAACTTGGTAGCAAAGTGTGGTGTAACAAAAGAATAAGTTAAACCAGAGTCAAAGAGAACATGGGCTAAGTGACCACCAACAGAAAGTATACCTAACATAACATTCTCTGTAGCTTCTAGGTTTCCAGGCACTAGGCCAAAGGCTTTTCCTTGGCGTTATTGGACCTTCCTCACTCCTCCAGGTACCGCGGGTTTTCGGACTGGTTCAGATGGGTCGGCTGTAGGACTGGCAAGCTTGGGACAATCTCTCAGCAAGTGGCCAACTTGGCCACATCTAAAACATGCTCCCGTGTCTCGACGACATTGTCCCCAATGAATCCTTCCACACGTAGAGCAAGTTGGAATGGTGCCACCTCTGGGATTTGTAGGACCTTGATAGCTTGAACTGGTTGAACTAGTTGTGCCCGTATTTACTCTCTTGGGAGGCGCGACATCGCGTCTTCTGTTATCTCTTTCCCAGAATCGCTTCCTCCGGCTTAGTTCCCTGGAACACAAGGCTTTAATCCATTTTTTCGCAATGTAAGCTCGATCTACCACTATCGCATAGGTTGGTAGTTTCAAAACCTCCAGTCTGTCCTTGATTTTAAGATTCAATCCTGCTTCAAATTTCCTGACTTTTCGAGCTTCGGTGGGATGACGTATGTCGCGAATCGGGCCAGTTGCGTGAACTTGCTCTCGTATTTGGCCACTGTCATGGTTCCTTGTCTTAGATGTATGAATTCTGATGCTTTTTATTCCCGTAGCGAATCTGGAAAGTATTTTTCATAGAATACCTCCAAGAATCTGGCCCAAGTCGCAATATCTTCTTTCTCCAGGGTAAGTAGCCACCATTCTTGTGCATCGTCTTTGAAGATGAATGTAGCGAAAGTCACCTTCTGCCTTTCTGTGCAAGGTAGTGTGCGAAAAATTTTGTCCATATCTCTAACCCAAGCTTCTGCCACCAGTGGGTTTGTACTGCCAATGAATATGGTAGGTTTCAAGTCTTGGAACTATTTTATTGTAGTTGGTTCTTCTCGTCATTCAGGCAATCCGTTATTAATGTTGGTTTGTAGGGCTCGCAGAAAACTAGTAACTGCTCTTTCCATGATTTGCTCCATTGGATCAGTATCGCTGACCGACGATCCGGTTCCATTTCCATCATTAGCCATTACTACAAGGTAAAATGATATAAACATGACATCACATTGATATAACTTTGATACAACGTCATATATAACGTATTAGTTTTATTAGTTTTACTACCACATTAATATTACCTCATTAATACTACATAAAACATCATTGTTGCTAGACATAAGGCGTTAGTCCAGTCGTCAAGAGTTAATCTCTAATCCTACTGATACAAAAATATAAGGATTAGACTAGTTAGTGTCAGCTCCCCAAAAAAAGAAAAAAGATCAGCGACATCTCTCAGTCATGCTCCTAGAATAGGTCACTAAGCCCCCACGAAAACTGGCTCTGGAAGACTGGGCCATAGAACAGCCATGGGAACTCCTGCTGTACGAGGGACTCAAACTCTCATCCACTGAGCTTAATCCCAAAACAATGCCAAACTACCTAGACCATGTAGACCGGTACACCTGGTCATATCCCCAAAATTGCCGCCCAATGAGCCGCACCGGCATCTCTAAGTATTTGGTACTGTTAGTGTAGTCCACAGCTAGGGTCTGGACAATGTGCTGTAGAGGAGGTGTAGTAGTGTGAATATGGCTGCTAAGGTATATATTCCCTCTTCTCTCAGCAAAGCCAGGGGTTAAGAGAGCAACCAAGAAATGCGAATGTACCAATCCGACGACGTGTGTCGGCCCAATGTATCTCTCTTAGGTGCTAGCCCGGCTAAGTCTGCAAAACAGGTAGTCCTCATCAGGGTCGACCTACAAATATACTGGTCTCCCCATGAGTCAATCAAGGCCAGGGTGGGTCTGTCCGATAGTGTTCTCTGAGTCCCCCCATTCCTTTAATAAGTTAGGGGCCAGATGCGCTCCCTTGGGCTTGAACGAAATCAATTATTCCTGGTATGCGATGTCCTACAACACAGGAAAACTTAGCCTACCCAATATTTATTTAAATCATGTTGGACACAATATTTCATTTATTATTATTTTTTTTATTATGACAATATATATATATATAATTAAACAATTATAATGTTGGGCCAAGTATAGTATTTATTTATTTTTATTTTATGACAATATATATACATATTTATTAATAGACACTGAGGTTTTTTTTTTTTTAAAAGAAAAAAATTTCAATTTTTTTTTAAAAAAAAAGAAAAAAATTCCAATTCAAATAATGTGAATTGCAAATAATATGAATAATTGTACAGAAAATCTCAAAAACATATACAATTTTTTTTTATTTAAAAAAAAACAATTGCTCTGATACCACTTTTGTCACAACCCAAACCCGATACCCAAAGGTTTGGCGTCGCAACAAGATAAAATAAAATAATTCTAAAATTTCTGTAGTGGTAGCGCAACGGAAAAATTAAATAAATCAAAATAAAATAATTGGGTACCAAAAGTTTATTAAAAGCAACAAAAAAAAAGTCATTTGGGCTTTTATTTTATTACAAGAGTCCAATCAAAATACAGATAGAAATCTTTAAAAAAAATAAAATAAAATAAAATAAACAACACAACGGTTCATTCCCCATCGTGATCCTGCTATGTCTCATCATCTGAAAGGGGTAACAGCTATAAGCACATAGTAGAGTAAGAAATATTATTCTGTGAGTATAGGAGTACAAAATAGCCATGGATAATTATTTAGCTAAAACATTAATATAATTTAAGTTGCATAAATAAATTATTTAAGTGACAGAAACTGAAATAAAAATTACGTAAATAACTATAACCACGGTACAGAACAGAACAGAACAGGGGTAACTGGAGTGACAATCAGAACATGGGCCAATGGATCCATGACAAACAGAGGACCACAAAGTGGCCAAACAGGGGCCAATAGTTATTTAAGCCCCCCAAGGCATGGGATTCCCGTGATGGTACTTACAGAAAATAATTGTTTAGAAGATTATTATCAAATAATTTCTAAAATTTAAATAAACATATCCATGGGTTTCAATTTAAGTAAATGGAGTTTAGAAAATAATCCACATAATTGAAATATTAACATAACCATAAAATATAAATTATATAAAATAAATTATAGTAGCACAAAACATTCGTAAAATATATTATGGTAACTCAAGACATATTTAAAACATGTTATGGTAACTCATGGTATAATATAACTCACCTTAACATTGACCCTTAGCCTTTATTTTCCTACTACAACTCCCAGTTATACTCTCTTCGAAGCTTACTACGAACGGTTTCCAATTTTTGTTCTTACTGCTGAAGTTTACTACGCAAGTATGGCCCTATTTATAGTCATGTTTGCATGGATTATAGCAAGTGGGTTGTTTTTGGTTTGGCCACCTGTGCAACAGGTGGCATTCTTTCTTCCTTGTTACGTGGCCTAAGGTACTCACTTAGTCACCATCCTATGCATTAGGATGGTGATAAATCACCATTTTTTTTTTTTTTTGGATTTAATTCGCATTAGGCCCATAATTAGATTACATTTTATCACCTACAACCATAACATTAATTATTATTTTTATTTTTTATTTTTATTTTTTTTAATACTAATAAAGAACTCTTTTTATTACAGTGTTGAATTAAATTTACAAATTCAGGTGTCACAAAAGTCGCCCTTTAGGATTTTCAACCTTGCGATCTCAGTTTTTCTTTGTTTCTAATTTTTCTTGCTCTAATTTTTGCCTAGGTCGCCCTTTCGGGTTTTCGGTCTAGCGAGCCTTTCAGGGGTAATATTTCTTCAACTTGTCTATATTGATCAGCTACGAAAACTCCAAGCCATCCAAGTCCATGAGAATAATCAACCCTCCTAACCAGATAGATTTGATGATATAAGGACCATTTCAATTGGGTCTGAATTTGCCCTTAGGGTCATGAATGAGAGCCTGGTTGTCTTTCAGTACCAAGTCTCCCTCCTTAAGATTCCTGGACTTAACTTTCTTATTAAAAGCCCTAGCAATTTTGCGTTGGTAGCGCTGAACATGATACAATACCCTTAGCCTTCTCTCATCAAACAACATTAACTCTTTAAATCTACTCTGCTGCCAATATGCCTCTTCTAGCTGACACTTAGCCATAATCCGCAATGACGGCACTTCAATTTCAATTGGCAAAACAACCTTTATCCCATAGACGAGAGAATAGGGGGTTGCCCTTGTAGATGTTTGGATTGAGGTTTTGTAGCCCTAAAGTGCAACCCTGTAGGTCTCGATCATTTTCCGCAAGATATTCTTGATATTTTTGTTCGCAGCCTCAACAGCTCCATTAGTCGGCGGTCTGTACGTCGATGACCTATGAAAAGCCACATTATATGTCTCAAGTAGATCCACCACCTCTTTCTTGAAGTGCGAGCCGTTATCGGAAATGATCTCGTTCGGAACCCCATATTGGCAAATAATGTTGTTCTTAATGAACTTAGCCACATGTGATGCTTTCAACACAGAATAGGACTGGGCCTCCACCCATTTAGTAAAGTAGTCGATTGCTACCAGAATGAACTCATGCCCATTTGATCCCTTTGGCGTGACTGCACCGATAACATCAATTCCCCAGATTAAGAAAAGCCATGGTGAGTCATGTTGTAAAGCTTTAATGGCGGAATATTCATGTGATTAACATGAACCTGACATTTGTGGCCTTGCCGAACAAAACCAATATAATCCTCCTCCATGGTTGACCAGTAATAGCCTTGTCTAAGGATTTTCCAGCCCAACATCACACTGTTCATGTGAGCTCCACACTCTCTTCCGTGGACAGCCTCCATAAAATGCTTTGATTCCTCTTCCTCCACGCATAGCTTATGCATTCCCAGATGGCCTCTTTTTCATAATTTTCCCTCGTAAATGATAAATTGGATAGCCAGATGCCATATTCCCCGTTTGTCTTTGGCATTTGCCCATGGTGGATACGTCTCTTTTTTCAGAAAGTTTCAAATATCGTAATACCAGAGGTTTTCGTCTTGTGCTTCATCTATTGCGGCGACGATCTGGTAAGCAGGCATATACTTCTACTCAATAATGATTGGACGCATCTTTACTCCCAGTGGGATGTCTACCATAGAAGATAAAGTTACTAGTGCATCCGCGACCCGGTTGTTCTCTCTTAACAAATGTGTAAACGTCAGTTTTTCAAACCTAGGAATCAGAATATCCAAGGCCAGATGATATATCTTCATGTTCTCTTTTTTGACCTTCCAATCCCCGTTAGCTTGAGAGACAACCAAATTCAAATCTCCAATTACGTCTAACCTTTTTGCCCCTAGTTCTAGGGCAGCTTCCAAACCAGCAATGTACGCCTCATATTCTGCTTCATTGTTGGACACTCTAAACCAGAGCTTGAACGCTAATGGTATATAGAAATCATTGGGTGTTATGAGCAACACACCTATCCCATAACCGTACTGATTAGCCGCCCCGTCAAAGTACATCGCCTACGTTTCATCTTCCACATGTAGAATGTCTTCATCTAGGAACAGGTATTTCACTATCTCAACTCCCTCTACTGAGTGGTCTGCCAGGAATTCCGCCACAACCCTCCCTTTAACTGACTTACGTGTAACATATTTGAGATCAAATTCAGAGAGAATAAGCAACCAACGAGCTAGCCTACCCGTAAGAGTTGGTTTCTTGAAGAGATATTTAACGGGATTTAATCTCGAAACAAGGATTACAGAATGAGCTAACAAATAGTGCCTCAACTTCCTGGTGGCCCATACCAAGGCTAGGCAGGCTTTCTCGAGGGAAGTGTAGCGGTCTCGTAGTCTAGTATCTTTTTGCTCAAGTAGTAAATGGCCTTCTCCACTTTGGCTTCAGATTCTTGAGCTAGCATGCACCCTATAGTCGAGTCTATTACTGATAAATACAGAATCAAAGGCTTCTCCGACTCTAGTGGCGACAACACAGGCGAATTCTAAAGATACTGTTTGACCTGCTCAAAGGCAAACTGACAGCGATCGTCCCATTGAAATTTTTTTCCCTTCTTCAGGAGAGCAAATAGTGGTTCACAAGTCAAGGTTAATTTTGAAATAAACCGCCTTATGAATTGCACTTTACCCAGAAAGCCACGTATCTCATTTTCAGTCCTCGGTGATGGCATTTCTAAGATGGTCTTGATTTTGGAAGGATCTACTTTGATTCTCCTCTGCATGATTCAAAAATCCAACAT